CCAGCTCTGATATCAGTTGTTGGGAAAAATATGCTGAATCTTCCCATATGGTCAGATCTGTAAAAGTGAAATAAAAGCGGAATAATTGCACACACCAATTGATAACGGAGTTCGGCCAATAATGCCTACGTCTCCGGACTACTGCAGATCTCTTAGTAGGAGAAAAGAAAAATACACAAGTGTTTACAAAACACTCTCAAAAGCACTCACAACTCACAACCCAATTACACCCAAAAGCTAAACTAAAACTCTCTAGTTTTTCTGCCTCTCACTGGTGCCACTCTTTCTTCTCTAAGAGAAGTAATATTTTTGTGTGGGATGGAATGCTTATGCTTGCAGAAAGAAGACCAATTTATAGCAAAAATTGGTACTGTGCATTACCATAAAATATGTCTCGTGGGTACCTTATGCTTGAATAAAAATTCGCAGCCACCCTTTTCTTCCGTGCTTTCGGTGCAAATGAGAAATTTGGTTGCCCACTTTCTTTGACCAACACTTAATTGGTGTTTTCATTAGTAGCCATAATGCCTACACCGGATTTTAATCTTCCTGCTCTGCACACTTCCTTATTAACTTCCTTTGTTAAACAAGTTAAAACATCAGGTACAAGGCATTGAAAATACATTAAAAGACAGAGATTAACCTCGTATATTAACACATAAATTGAAAATGTGGCACTAGATATGTATGTGAACTTCATCTGAGAAGATCTCAGTTTCAATTAAACGTTACGATGTTACATTTAATTTGGAATAGAACACTAGTTACACGGAAGTGTCAAGCTTAACATATTTGAGAAACAAGAAAAATCAAATGAATATTCTATAAATCACGATGCAATTAACTAAGAAAAGAGTCATGTCTTGGTGCGACATCATCAACCACTGCACAACACTTATTACTAATCTGAGTCTAGGGCACAGCAGTCAAAGAATGCACTTCCTCAGTGAACCAATTCTAATCTAGAAATTCCGTAGCATCACAGCTTTTCAATCAACCTAACCATGAAGGAATTCACAGCTGAAGTATCCAGAACAATCCATGATGATTCAAATAACTCATGGAAGAACTCAGTTCCGATCTCCTCTGCTGCAGTCCTAAATGCAATCCCAAATGCATTCCCTCTAGCCCCAGCCAAACGTGGCCTCCCACAAACCCCTACAATCAGCACCTTCCCAGGCTCTTGAGATACACAAGCACAAAGCAAAGGCTTCATTGTCGCCCCCTTCTCCCTCAGAGCATCCATAAGAAAATAACAAAACTTAGTCAATGCTTGCGGGTACCCCAACAACTTAGCATCACTTGAATCCTCCAGCTTCAGCCACCGGAAACTCCTTCCACTCCTTATGCACCCATTCTTAGTAATCGCAGCACTCCCTTGCCTTAAAATGGCCCTCTGAATCTTAATAGCATGTTGCATCCCAGTCCTTAAGTTGTCAATATTGTTCAAAGAAAGTGCATCATAGGCCACACCAAACTGCTTAGAAGCACTAGAACCATCCGATTTCACAAAAGACTCAAGCAACGCCGTCACACCATACACCACATCCGCAGCAGAAACCTTAGAACTATACTTAAGGGTTCTCTGGAAACTCCTGTAGTAAAAATCAGTGAGTCCGTACTCAGGCAAAAAACGCTCAAACTCCTCCTTCATCTTGCGCTTCACCTCCACATTCATGTGCTGAAACTTTTGATGGCAATCAGCAAGAGCAAACCCCATCCTCCCAAACAGAAGGTTCAACTTCTTCACCCCATTCTCATTCCACGTCTTCAACTTGGTGGCAATATACGAAGAGCACATCATGGAGTCAAACAAGCTCCACTCCTGCAACAGCATAAGCCTTGGCTGTTCCTCATAAGTGATCCGCGAAGAATTCGGAGCGCGAATTTTCGTACCATCCTTGAGTGTAACTGAAGTAACCACATCCAAATTACCAGAACTGTTTATATGCTGCTCAAGTTCCATAACCCCATCTTGGTACCTCTCATCACTTAACCTTTCGTGCACGAACTGATCCGTGAGCGAAACGCACGCGAGCCAGAGCAACTCATTCGTGTTCTTCCTGAGAGAGTCAGCGAGCTCATACATCAAGCATCCGGAGGGCTTCCCATGGAAAGTCCCCAACCGGTAATAGTCCTTCTTCAGCTTCCGGTACAGTTTGATCGGATCCTCCTCGTCATCGTCGTTTCTCTTTCTCCTCTTCCTAGATTCGTTTCCGTCATCATCAGATTCGGATTCAGATTCGGGTTCAGACTCGGAGTCGTCTCCGTTAGCAGCGGCGGCGTTGGCTAGCGTGGTGAGGTCAAAGTCATATGCGAGATCGGACTGCTGCTCGTCGTATTTAGTAAAAAGGACGACAACGGCGTCGTTTCGATCGCTGAGGTTACGGAGGTGTATGGGGCGGTGGCTGTCGACGACAAAGACACGGGCGTTGGGGCCAAGGCTGAGTGCTTTGCGCAGGTCCCGGTGATTACCCCAATTGACCAAAACGATGGATAGAGGGTCGTCGCTGGTGGCAGAGGAGGTGTATTTGTGGATCTCGCGGAAGGTGGAGACGGGGTAGCAAGCGTATTGAATGGAATCGGATTCGAGAATGTGGAAGATGATTTTTAGAGCGCAGAGGGAATCCACGTCGGAGGTCGAGGGGAAGATGAGAACAGGCGTAGAGGAAGAAGACAACGCCGAGTCACGAAGCTTAGCGTAGAAGGTATCTAAGCGTTGCTCTCTCATTGTAACAGTGAAGAAGATGAAGAAGATTATTGAGGATTGTTCATGAGGATTATTGAGAATTTTGAAGTGAAGGTGGTGTGGTGCGAGAAATAACACAGCTTTGGTTTGAACTGTTTCAAATGAAAATGAAAATTTGAAGGCGCGGAAATATTTGGCGCCTTTAGTTTCATCATTGGAACTGAATTGGTCTCATTCCACTTTACTCAATGGGCCTGTAGACACGATTCGGCCCAACCCAATAGGTCCACAATGGAAGAAAGCACCAACAATACCATGTCCCTAAGTTCTTGCATGTTAAAAAATTTAAGTGAAGCCTAAATTATATATTTTACTTTAATTAATTAAATTAGTTTTATTGTATATAAATAAATATAGGATGGTGTGTTTTTAATAAAAAAAATTAAATTCCATGTGTTTCTCCTTCTATTTATTTATATTTAATTTGATCTTTTATGTTTTTGTGGCACATACCATTTATTGTGTTAAATGTTATGAGGCATGGTTTGTTTGTGTTGTTATATACAAGGTTGACCTATTATGAAGCAATGAACTCTTCTTTATGAGTGAAAATATTTTTAAAATGTTTTTTTTTTAATATTATTTTGGATTTTAATGTAAGCTGGGTATAAAAAATATAGATTTAAGCTCACCTTGTATAATTTATTGTTGTATTTTATAAAATAAGTTTGTTCAATGTTATTAATAAATATGTACCAAAAATAAAAATCTAATGAATAGTGTCAATACAATATTATATATCCCTGGGGATTAAACTCTATTTTATTCACAATAATACTTTATTTTTTTTCTTTAAAATATTTTTATTATTAATTAAAATTGATTAGAAGTTGAATTCACAAGAATACTTAAAAATATATACTCTTTGTCATATTTTTTAATATATTATTTATGCTTAATTAAAACTAGTAAAAGTTATAAAATAATGAATGATACTCATTAAATAATTAAGAGTGAACCTATAAAATTTTATATTTTTGCTAAAATAATAATAATAATAATAATAATAATAATAATAATAATAATAAATAATAAATGTGTTGTTAATTATCTTTATTACGTTAACTTTGAGAATGACTATGGTAAGCATTTGACTGAAACAAAATAAGACATATATGAAAAAAGAAATGAAACATTATATTATTATTTTGTGTACATGCATGAGAACTATTAATAAATATTTGAGACACTTTTTCTCCTTCTCTTTTCCATTGTATGTAATTATCATGTCATGGTTGCACTCAAATTAAAAGGAAATGAAGGATAAACTTAGCAACAAATCAAATAATGAGGACAGAGTGATGAACATAAGAGCACAATAGTCGTGCTTCTTAAACCATTTCAATTAAAGAAAGGAGAGTTTAATACTCTACCTATTATTTTGGTGGAATACCACTCCCCTGTTTTTCATTATGTCTTAAACAATCATGCTTTATAAAGCATATGACAGATCATCAAAACATGAGGTTAAAACTTCGCAAAAATTCATAAAAAAAGAATTCTCAAACTAAAAATACTTCAATGACATTACAACCATCACAAAAGTCAATGATATTACAACTTAGAGCCTAAATTCAATACTTTGGTGACATTTTTTAATGTTGATGTCACTCTCTGGTACTCCTTTATTATTATTGATTAAAATTTATTGAAAATCATAAATTTTAATAGGTTTTATTTTTCATTAAATAAATACCTTGGGAGTTAGATTTGAGACCCCCAGTTTCTTTTTTCAATAAATTTTAGTCAACAATTGAGATTTTAGAAATCATTTACTTGGCTCTCCTTTCTGATAAAATTGTCTAAACACTTTTTATGCAAGTTTTCTTAATATTTTAAGAATAAAAAAATAGAGAAGTTTTGTGACAAATATGTTGGCCAGGTGTGCATCTCATTAGGCAAAACATAGGTACCTACTAGGTTTGATTTGCTGAAAAATAATTATTTTAACATCAGAAAAAAAGGTTAAAACAAAATATCAAGCATGAGAAGCCATAAAAACTTGTCCCCACACATAATATCTTCTAAAGTAAAAAACATACTATCCTTCTTCATTTCCTCTATAGGCTCCCTCCTTTTTTATCATTTTCTTCCTTCAAAACACTTTGCACAATGCATCTAATATGAATTGTAATATTCTGCTCAGGGAGGGTACAGTGTATTGCCTGCTATATGCATATAAGAAAGTTCCATCACTGGAAAATACAATGGAAAAATGGCACATTTTACAGCTCATTCCAGGAAAGTAAAGCTACTCAAGAACAACACAGCTTCTAATTAAAGAGTCTAATGGAAGCAGATCCTCTCCAAATAAAAACAAAAAAGAAGACATGACCCTATACAGTATTTAATCTAACCAATGAATTTTTAAATTTTCAATTTATAATAAAAATTATTAAAATAATAAAATTTAATCAACGGTTAAGATCCTCTGTAATGGTAATGTCACTGCACTAGATCCATTCCCAACTTAAATAAAAATTTGTACTTTATAACTACCTATAGCAATGACATGCATAACTTCTACATCTTTTCTGATACATGCATCGCACTACGAAATGGTAATAAAGTATAAATTACTTTGAATAGTAATATTTACTTTTGCCACATAAAAGAACAAAGGAGATATGAATATGAAAACCACACTTTTGAATATGAAACGGGACAATTAGCTCATTGAACAATTTTCAAATGATTACTTTAACAACACACATTGTTGGAGTCATGCAGTAGATAGCAGATCCATAACAATTTCCTGGATTTATATTCTCCCCTAAAGAACAATGACATTCATGGAAACTGATGCCAATGCATCAGAATTTGAAGTCAATCTATTCAGCCTAGATACAGGATTTGGACAAACAATTTAAATTTGTGATCATGACAAAGAAAATGGTAACAAAATTCTAGCTCCTCCACTCCCTATATCAAAAGCAATAAATCTAAGTAAAATATTGTGGGAAAATTGACAAGACAATCTTGCAATCATGAAATAACACAAGAAAGATAAAAACAGAATCATGAATGAGGGGATAGGTGGAAGCACACATGATGGTTCTCATCTTGGAGCTTTCTCTCTCCATTCTGTTCGTCCCCGGTTTATCTCAAGTCCGTCAGTAGACAATCTAAGCAGATGCAGAAACTGCTGGCGTACATGTTTGGCTTCCATTGCAACGGCAGATCCATTTGTACCTTTCAGTTCTGGAACTGCCTCAGCACCACCCTCGATCATTTCCACACCACTGAGGGAATCAACTACGTCATATTGTCCGCACTCTCGTCTGTAATCCAAGGTAATACTCTGCAATTCATGGCTATCAATGATTTCCTGAGGCATGCTCTGACATAATAAGACCGTAAGTGAGTAAGTGACATCAACAAGGTACGATGCATTATTTTGTATAAAAATTAACATGATAAGGCATGCTCTGCCATAGATGTATTTATAACAAGGATAATAATAGAATAAGAAACAAATCAAATCATGTGACTGAGAGTTCATTTTTACAGTACAGTATTTGAATCATCTTCCTGATGTTATGTCATCTCTAATGAACAGGATATTTTAACATCATGTAGATATGATGTACTTCCAATTGTACATCTAAGACATAAAAACCCGACTATCAATAATAAACTTTAGCCAGGGCAAAAAAGTTAAGAGAAACAAAAAGTTGAGCCGAACCTAAAGTTAAATTAGTTTCCAGTAGTCCAGCAAATGGATAAATGGTACACAGACCACTTCTTGAAGCAAAATTCACTTGTTTTGAAAACAGTGTTTCAACTGCTTAAATTATCAGCTTATACGTTAAACATAGTGTCCCTCTAATTTTTTTCATCAAGATCTAGAGCAAAATTTAAAAAATATTTTGTATTACTTTTTTGCAAAAGCCAATGTTGATTCTAGAAATGGGTTAAAACCATGTATGTTCTTTTTACTTTCAGGGTTTTTGAACATGAAAGAAAAATTCTAACAAACAAATTCAAAGCAACACTAGCATATCTAAGAAATTATGAATATTCAAGTAGAAAACAGTATACAGGACCATTGTTAGTGAATTATGAAATGCAAGTCCCAGTCAGTCGTCATTTTGAAGAAATAACACACTTACAAGTATCCAAAAACTTTGAAAAATAAAAATAAAAATTAAATGCACAAAAGTATATATGAAACATATGAAGTGAGAATATCTAATGTAAATTTTGTCAGTCCAACCATTGAATTATCAGCAATTGTGGTTTTGATCTAAGATGCAAAATGACAGAAAAAAGTATGCAATCAAGCATTGGTATTTTCTTAATTTTGAAAAGACTGCACCTTGATATATAACGATAAATCAGAACAAGATACAAAATGTTTATCCAAAAGCTGATTTTGTGAGACATAAACCACCAGATAAAACATGAAATAGAAAGTGTTTTCAATAAATTTAAAAAGAAAACATAACAACCTCAAGCACCCATCCAATATAGGCGACATTGTTCACGTGCTGATTCATGTCCAGATCTGCTCTTCGTGGCTGCAAAATTGAAAAGCATGATGAGAAGGCAGGCTCTTGAACGTTATTAAAATATCCTGGATTTGCCTACTATTTTCTCACCAATGAAATTTTTTCCTTTGTGTCTGTGGAAAAGAAAAAAAAAATAACAGACAAAGATTTTCTGAGCCAAATGATCATACCACAAGTCCAACTTTGGAAAACTGAGCAGGGTCCTCCAATTTTGGAATTTTCTTCAAGCAATTACTGTCCTCCTCAGGAATTGCTAACCTAAAACCACAGAAATGAAATTGGAGAAACAAAACGAGAATTAATCACAAATTAAGCAGCTACCCAGGCAGGGTATTGAAAATTGAAACACATCAAGTCACTAACAGTAACAAAACAACCAATGAAGTATGATCATTGGGCCATAATTCAACCAATCTACTTGTAGCACGCTAACTAAGCCAGAAATAAATTGTTCAAAATTCAATTTTGTACCAATTAGGAATTAGAAAGGAAAAAGATAAATCTTTTATAAGAAGACTCATTTTTAAAAAAATGGAAGATAGCATGTGTAGTAAAGGTCCCCACAACTTTATCAGACACCACTCTGAAACTTCCTCACATCTTTACCTAAAGAAGGGAAGTGGCAGAGGCCACTGAAAGTAACAGAATCCAAGTTTGTTGTGTTCATAGAAATGATATCAATTTCAACAATCAGTTATTTTATTCATAACATTGATAATGGTGCTGATAAATATCCTTTATTTGTCGATTAAAAATTCTAACGATTAGCAATAGTTGTTCCTTAATTGTTAAAGTAATGAAAGCAAAATTTTCACCATTAGGAGTCTGCAATCAAGAGCAGTTGATAAAGAGCTAAAAGGTCATTAAGTTCAGAAAGAGTCCAGTCAGTTCTAGAATTATGTAGGATGATCTTTAAATAGCACTTCTCCATATTTTCAGAAGTGCTTTAGTGAGGTACAGAACATCTACACACTTGTTTTCAGGCTTGTATTCCTTCATTTCAACTTATTGTTATTGGTGAAACTCACTTCAGGAATATGGTTACTACCAATCAATAAATAATATTTATTGAAATATGCATGTGTGTCACAAATTACACTCACATCACGAGAGGTTTATCAATATTATATTCAATATCTTTCATCTTTTTCATCCAACACAAACCTCCCTCAATTTAAATGACATGAACAGTTTCTCTTAGCATGGATGTAACAAGCCTTACATCGGGGAGGTCTACTTACCAGGGAAGCCTTATAAGGTGGGAGGTTCTCCAACCTCTTGGACCGGCTTTTGAGGGATGGTTCCCCTCCTTAGCTTTATGATTGTTACAATGGACGATATTTTATATTGTTATACATGTATTGAGGCGGCGTAATGTCAAAAAGAGAGAGATATTGGTGTATCATTTTACTTATACCCAAGGGAAGTGAGTGTAATTTATCCTACACCTTCACACAATAGACTTGAGATACTTCAAACATAGACTTGTACAAATTAGATAGATTAGAGACTCCCGACTTGATATAGCACAAGTGAAAAAGAGTCACAGAAAAAGATAAATGTTAGATTTTAATTCATAAATTCATATGCTTTCAAATATTTAGGCTACATAAACATGTGAACACGTGTCCCATGTTTTATTTGACCATCTAATGACAGCTTCATCGGTGATGTCTCATTTGCTACCTAGTCAATGGCTTAACTTAAGTAACAAGATGCTGCATTTTATATCAACCAGCTAAGCCCCTCCCTCCTACCACCAAATAACAAGATGTCATTTCAAAATGTACTTTTGATGGACGCAAGATGCCAAGGTCATATGCTATAATTTGATTTGTTCCATAATCCATACAAATACAGAATATTGATCAAGTAGTGTCTCCTGCTTTCCACTAGTGATCTCAGAAGCGCTATAGAGTTTTTATCTCTTCTGCTTATCAAGTCTTGTTATTAATACAATGAATAAGGACTTAAGAGCACCCAAATAAAAGAAATCATCAAGTAAAGTTTGTGTATGTTGTAATGCATTAGCAGCATATGAGAAAGAAAAATGACTACCTGGGCTCTCGAGGACAGTAAACCAAAACCTCCTCTCGTACATCATCAGAAACTTTCTGGAGTCGTCTGGTGTCCTGATTCATCATTAACCATTTGCTGAAACAATGAATTTAACTGGTCAACTGCATGAAAGTATTTAAAGCAAACTATTTCACCAGAGACAGTATTGATATTGTATACAACAAAACATAAACATGTCAAAATTTAGAGATACACCAATTTATGATGCAAAGGAATTATTTGTTTATGTATTATGATTTGCATCTATGGATAATTTTCCATCAGATATAGATTTTTGGACAGTATTATTTCTGAGCTTTATGCTTTTATAAAATCCCTAGTATCCTTGTGACTTAGGGATTAAGTTTAATAACCAGTAGTTTTGTTTCCTATCCTTTTGCCACTAAATAGCATAGAATATATTATACAGACATATTTACTGAAAGAAACTATCATGGATTCAAATGAGGAAAGAAATTTTACAATACAAGAACAAAAGTGATAAAAAGGAAAAGCACATGATGGGTCCTCTTTAAGATTGCCCAGAAATCAAAGAGTGGTGGAAAGATGATTTAACAATTGATCTGCCATTCATTAACCAAAAGGAGTCATGCCATAAAAACTCAGTAGAATATAATCATAAGTATAATATTTACCAACAAAGTGATCAAACTAACATAGGAAAAATATCTAAAAGGGTCAATTCACAACCATCCAACTGGAAGGGAAAATATTTACCTTGTTGCCCTTCCAATGACTTGATCGGTCGCATAGTCTTTCAGTATAAAATCACGCCTTATTCCAACCCTTCCTTCCCCTTGACACCATGTCTCTATCTCAACAACATCACTCCTGTTGAAATCATCAATGTTAGACTTTTCAAATTAGAGTTTATAAACTAAGTGTTTATAAAGAACAGGGACCCACCAAGCAGGATATTTGTAGATTTCAATGTGCATTCGAGCAGTAACCCATATGAGACCCAACTTTCTCATCGTAGGGGTGGTTGCAAAACCATCAGTAGAATATCCAACACTCTGAGCATGATTGCATCCAACCTCCTGCAACACCGTTACCAGACATTTCAGATTTTATGCAAGGAATACAATGGCACATGCTATCTATATCAGACAAATTCAGCTCCTAAGGTGAGAACTGTCTTCCTTTTCTTTAATCAAGCAACCTCTATAAGACATCCTAATTTATTTTATACTTAAAAAAATAAAAAAAAAGTCAATTATTTTTTCCAACTGATTATTGTCTTTAAGTTTGGATGAGTTAAGGAACTGCCTTGTCTCAAACTAGGACACAATAATGGTGTTACAATGAGCAAGCCATTAAGAGAGCATTAAAGATATAACAAGATAATACATTAAAAAGAACTTACAGTATTTTCACAAGACCAAGACCAGAAACGAAGTACGTTTCTTAACATGACAAGTATTCTGAAAAAGGGAGTAAACATCAACGAAACAAAATAGTAATCTAGAAAAGGAAGCGGAAGAAAAATACAAACAAACACACATTTCCAAAATCTTATACTCCAAGCATAGAACACAGTGCCATCCAAATCTGCACTTGCTAAAATCGGCACAAAACGCACAACTAAACACTATAAAACATAGATCAAGCAACCTCAAATGCCACAAATCTTCAATTTGTACTTTAGAACATCAACACACCAGAATCAAAACAACCCCAATTGTCAAAAATCTTCATTTTTTTCACCGTAGACAGAAAAAAAGAGAGAAAGTCTCCCAATCTAAAGCAAGCACAAACCCACAAGAACCAGAAATACCCAGATGCTCAAAATCCCAATCAAGCACCCAGTTAACCAAGATGAAGCAATCAAATCACCCAAATGAACATACAGATCAAAATCAAGACCTGTAAGAGATTAGCAATAGTTTCCACAGTGGCAGTCTTGTTGATCCCAACTTCATAGCTCCTCACAATGAACTGCTCCTTATAAGACAACCCATCCTCAGTCAAGTTCCCCAGCCTCAACCGGTCCGCCAGCGTCCCGTCCTCCGCCTCCACCCTACTCGCCACCGCGCCGTCGCGGTCCGAAACCACCGCCAACACCGGAAACACCCTGACGCGGGGCAATCGGAACCCGGCAACGGCGCTCCTCCTCCGGCGAGAGCCAGCACAGGCGGGCTGGCCCGCGAAGCCGCATTGGACAAGGGAGATAACCTGGTCCAGGCCATTGGACGAAAGCTTCAACATTTTTTATTATTTGGAAAGAAAAGAAGAGAAAGGAGAAAGAGGGGAATGCGGGTGAAGGGGGAAGAAGCAAAGTGCAGAGAATTGAACAAAGTTTTCAAAGAGATAGAGATGGGAAGCAACAGTGAAGTAGTGAATGCAGCACGTGTTCTCGATGGGCTTCTCTTTCCGTTTTAACCAAATTTCTCTTCTTTTTCAACTTTTTCACCCTCTAAAATCAATGTAGTTTCTGTCTATCAGTGGTTGTACCAATGTAATACACTTTTTTCTTTTTTTTTTTCTTTAAGAAACGTATAAAATATACACAAACTCAACTAACAATAAATAATTTAAAAGCATAAACTGGCATTGACTTTTCTCAGATCTTGTTGAGTTTCTGTCTATCTTTTAAAAATGCTAATTGAGCACTACTACAAGTAAAAGATATGATATGATTTTTGAATACAAAATACTCAACAATCATTAGGTGTATCAATTACATATATCAAGATTGAAACTTTAAGACATTTTTTTTTTACCAGAGAACGACTAAGTTTTCTCACCAATGGTACAATTCTTTTCAAAATTTACCAAGAATGGATAAAAAAAACATTAAATATTTAAGTAAGTCATATTAAAAAGGAAAACTTTAAGCACGATTTTATTTTTAAATATTTTTTAAAATTTTAAGAAGAAGTCACAATGTAATAAGATTTCAATATAAACACAAATTTAATTTTTTTATAATTTAATAATTATTATTATATTAATAATAATAATATTTTTATATCATTAATAATTTAAGATATTTATATTATTAATTTAAATAGTAAGAATTGTTAATATTTAGTACTTAAGTAATATTACTAATAATAATATTATTATTTTAATATCAAGATTATTAGTATTATTTTAGTATTAATAATATTATTATTAATATTATCTTCTTTAATTATTAAAATTAATAATATGTTATCTTATTGTTAATAATTATACTATTTTTGTAATATTTATTATTATTATTAATATATTGCTAATTATTTATTTTTATTAATATTTTTTTTATTATTATTATCTCATTATTAGTAATATTATTTAGTAATATTTATTAAATAATATATTACTAATATAATTGGCAATTATTTTATTTTTATTAATATTTTTAATACTAAAATAATTTGAATAATAACAATAAATAATATAAATATAAATATAATTAATAATTAAATATTTATAATATTAACAATAAAATTAATAATAAGATAATATTAACATTATTATTTTAAGATTATAATTATAAAATAATATTTATAATAATAATAATATTAATAAAACTAATATAATGATACATTATTTAAATTAATAATATACTTAGTATTTAATTTATTATTTTTAATAAAAAAAATAATATTGAAATATATTGAAAATAATATAAAATATTATTAATAATATAATAATTATTATTAAAATATAAAAAAGTTAAAATTGTAGTGTATAGTACATGCTGAAGTCATAGTAATTCTTAAAATTAAAAACTAAAATAATTACACTTTTTTTTGTGAAAAAACCAATAAACTACATACAACATATTAGTACATTATAATATAACATATAATAAAATTGGATTTATATACAGAAAAATAACAAGTGATACTAAAATTTATATAAGACAAATTCCTACTTTCCTACAAATAAAAGGAGAGATGTATAATAAATAGTATAAAAAAATTAATGTTAGTCAAAGCACATGTAGAAATATCATAACATGGTTATTACATGCACCAAATTTTATTTATAAATAAGAAGATTGTAAATCTTTAAATTAAAAATAACGCAAAAAAAATCATAAATACACTTATCTAATAAAGATTAAAGAATTTTTTTAGATATTAAAAAGAACCCCAATCACGATAAAATTATATATATATAAACAAGTCAATACTAATTTTCTTTTCAAAAATTGAATGCCATGTTATTTAACGTAATTTTAAATTCTATATATAAAAAATGTTATTAAAATATATAATCCTAATAATGTTTGTAAATCACATTTATATAAACTATATATTTAATTTATATTAAACTTAATATTTTGTGTGATATAAGAATAGTTTATGATGTACTTCATTATTTTATTAGTTTAGTTTTTATTTATTTGAATTTAAAGAAAAAATATTTTGTTTTAATCATTAATTCTTACCCTCAACTCAAGATTCTTTGTATAAAACATACATAAGAAAATACAATTTTTTTCAAATCCTCTCTTTTATTTATTTAAGTGAGGAGTAAATGTTAATTTTTTTGTCAATAATCATATATGAGTCAAAAGTTAAATTAAATAGGAATTTGAACCTCTCATTATCTTTAGATTAAACCATATTTTTTTTTCTACACTTAAATCTTAAATAAATTTGTTTTGAAATTCTTAAAAGACTATGTATATATTTTGAACAACTTCTTTAAAGATTAAAAGACAACAAATCAACTATCATTATAAGTACTAAATAACGAAAAAATATTAGTGGGATAATTTCCAAATGTAAAACCTCACATGTTAGCCTAAATATTTGTAGAACGAAATATAGTTGCGTCCATGCTTTATTAAACAATTGTAACACACACCTATAGTGAATTTGTCAAAAGAAAATTATACATGTAAATCTCTAATCTAATAGCATGACATCTATCCAGCGAAATTGTCTTGTACAAGCGAGTTTTTAATGTCACTCAGATAATGTTGGATCCAAAAATAACTTATTTAAAAATAACGCGGTGACAATTTTGTAAATAGTGGACTCCACTTTTACGTCAGACCTAGAAGGGGCTGACGTAAAAGTAGCTTTATATATCGGATGTATAGTGGTTCGACGTAAAAAGCGAGTTCGATATCGATCCCTTCTAGGTCCGACGTAAAATTTGCGTTGCTCTGTGATAATTTTGTAAATAATGGACGTGAATTTTACGTCAGACCTAGAATGAATCGACGTAAAACTTGCTTTTCACATCAGTTCCTTCTAGGTTCAACGTAAAACTCACGTTTTATTCTTCTCATCGCCACTTCTTCGTCTTGCACAATAAGGGTTTTTGAGGACTACGATGACAGCAACAATGACCAACTCCTCTCAAGTGAGTGACGAAAATACTTTATTATGTCCCATTTGTGGTGATGAACATTTTTCTTCGATTGAATTCAAGTTTTACAACATTTTGTGTATATTTAAGATTAGTGTTTTATGTGTCTCGTCTCCTTTTTTATGTTGAAATTGAATGTTTCCACTTGATTGTTATTGATATTGAACTGTTGTAGATAGTGTTCTATGTGTTTGAATCTTACTTTTTTGTTATTGTTGTTGTAATTTATATATTGGATGTTTAGGTTGTTGTTGTTTTGTGTATTAGGGTTTTATGATGAAAAGAAAAAAGATAAATGTTCGAAACAAGATAACTTTTGACTCAGATGTCGAATTTAGATGCACAACATATCAAAACGAAGAGAAAAAAAGAGAAGAAGAGTGAGCAAAATCCCGAACAGTTTTTCTAAAATATGTTCATAAACACATGTAATACACAAAAGTTTGTGCGGGTATAACCAGAGGTAATTACTTTCAACATTTATTAAGTTCATTTACTTTTGTGTCTATTGCATGTTAACTGAAGTCAAATTAATGTTTCAGGTATTTCAAGATTTATTCATCTCCATTATCAGAACATGATATTACACATATTAAAGAACAAAGAATAAGATTTTTTGTTCAATATTTCTAGTTTTTTTTTTGTATTATATGTTATTGTGTTTTTTTGTATTATATGCTTATATTGTTTGTATGTTTTGTATTATATGATATCTGGATTCGTAAAAAAACAATTATATGATATCGGATTGTAAAAAAAACAAAATTTAGACCAGAAGCATACTCAAAGTAAATCTATGTTGGTTAGCTTAAAAGTTCAACGTAAATTTATATATTGATTACTTGAGGATTTGACATAATTTATATCGATTATCTCAATATTGACTTAAATTTATATTGATTACCCCAAATTACATTTCCCCTAATAACGTGGAAATTAGTTCTAACCTAAAAAAATCAAAATAATAAACATAAAAATATAATTTTATATTAGTGATTCTCATTTCTTACATTGATAAAAGAAGTTAGTACGAATGTCTAGCGATATTTCTAGAAATAATCCTTTACTCGTAAATCTACCCAAATAAAACCCCGTAACCGTAACGGACATCCTCGACAGAGGTTTGACTCTCTCACCTTCACTCTGCTCAAATACTCATCAGAATTGTTTTTGAGCATGTAAAAACCATAACTGTTTTAGCTAAATACAAAATTACTCTACTTCTATTTTCACCAACAAATATTTTGTCTTAATCGATATATTCTTCTTAATCGTATATATTTACGTACAGTTCATATTTTAAATAGATAAGATTTATAAATGTTAACTTTCTTAAAATATTTGAAGTATAAATAAATATGAATTTTTCAATCGATAACAACAACACACTCATGACAGGCACATAATTGAATGGGTCGAAAATTCCATGGCAGGTAATATCGCTAACATCTACTACGTTATAATTGTTATAATTATAATATTGCACTATTAGCCTAAACGGTGGTTTTGTTGGATTTAAATTTTTTTATTTATTGAATATAACTAGTTTTTTTTATTATCAAAATATAACTAGAGTTTTTATGTTTTAGGAATTGTCAATTTTAATTGTTATAATTTTATTTTTAAAATATATTTTTTATTTTTTAAATGATTTGAAATTGATGAGTATATTAAAATATAAGTTCTTATTAGAGAACAATGAGTATAACAAAATTATACTCTTGATTTATACTAGAAGTCAATATTTAATTTAAAAATAAAAATATTTCAACTTCATATTAGTAGAATAACATTAATAAAATTAATTTTTATGTCTGAAAATATATAAATTATTTTTTACTTCAACTCCTAAATATATAAAATTCATATATTGAATATATAAAATAATTTTCATATTATTCAATTTTTAATTATTAAAAGTAAAAAAATAAAAAATTTACAATAATTTTGAGGAATTAATTTCTTTTTTATTGTGAAATTATTTTATTTTTATTTTAAAAAAATCATATCCACTTGCTCTTTGACATGGAAGTTCAGAATTTTGGTGCATAATTATTTTTGTCGGTAATGGATAAGGGAATAATAACTCTTCACTTTTACTTTTAATGAGTCCTTTGAATTCAGGAACCATATTCCTAAAAAATAATTTACCAAATATTTTTCTAAATAAAGTGTGAGAATGAACCATAAAGTATTATGAAAAATTTTTTCAACACACTAAATTACTTAATATATTAATTTAAAATATAACTAAAATTACTTAAAATGTTAATTTAATGTGATATTGTAAAAAGGTATAAAGATATATAAGATTTTCACCTATTAAATCTTTAGAGTAGTTTAGTTTGGTTAAGTTGCAATGATATATTTAAACTTGCTTTTAAGTTTTTTGAAAGTTAAAAGTTTTATCAATTTTAATAGTATAACTTCAACATGGCTGAATTGACTGAACCGAACTATAATTATTAAAATAATGTAACTTAACTTTTTAAAATAATTATTTTCACCATCATCCTCCATGGATGAGGTGTGAATCATGCAGGCAAGGCTACGTATGATTACAGGACAAAGCTATGAAAGTCAATGAAATTAAATCGAGAGTGCATCTATTTCTACCTTTTATTTTATTCTTCCTTTCCCATTCCCAATATTTTCTATTGAAAATGCAAAACAATATCATATAATAATAAATCATAAATTTAGAGTTTGATAAATATTTTATCATTGTAAATATTTACATATTCTCAATTAAACACAAATAATAATTATTATAAAAATTTAAAAAATTGCATTTATAACTAGATGAAGATATAAATTTGTTCTATAATGATGATTAAAATAATCCATTTTTCATAATTTTATTAATAGTAATAAATTTTAGATTTGTAATCTCTGTGACTGTTTTTTTTTTTGTTCATTTTTATTATGAAGCTTTAATAAAGCTCAAAGGTGTTGTTCCATTTGAGCAGCAGCAATGTACTTTGGGTTGTGACATCAATCCTCGACACACCACCATTTTTACAACATCCAAAGACATAGTCCTAGGATAAGTGGGGTGGGAGAGAGGAAACTGCAATCTCTTGAACTTTCTTTGTTTTCATTACATCATTATTATTTCACTGTGTGTCTTATTTTCTTCTTCATTGTTGCTGCCCTATCCATGATCTTGGAACTGAGATGCCCCATTGATTGACATTAGATCTCAAGTTGAAGTCTTTGAAGATACCCATTACTCTCACAGCCATGGGGGGTGTGAGTCTGAGGGAATCATGGTGCTTCTGCAAAGGGGTGAGCAAGTCTGAGAGGATGAAAGCTGCCATCTTTACGGGGAAGGGTCAAGCCATGGCCACAATCACCGCCATTTCTCCTAATGGGGTTTCCGGTACCGGATTTTTGATCCACCGGAACCTTCTCCTGACCACTCACACTAATCTTCCCTCGGTGGTCGCTGCCGACAGTGCCGAGATCCGGCTGCACAATGGTGTGGCTGCAACTCTTGTTCCTCAGAGGTACCCCCATTTGAGAATAATGCTGTGATTTCATTTTTCTTGCTCAAGTTGATGTCACGTGTTTGTCAAACTTGGAAGAAAATGTAGCCAAACTGTCATTATATTCTACTTTTTTAAAAGATTGCTTTTTGGGGGAGCGGTTAATATTTTGTGTAATTGTTAGGTAGGAGAGGGAGATAGGTAGGCTAGTGGAGAATTAAACAATGTAGATATACAAGGTGGTTGGCTTTTGTGCTGAGATTTGTTTGTGAAAGTTGTTAACCAATGCAGTTAATGAGGTAAAGTTAGATTGGAATTCAGTTGTAAAGGTTGGAAACACGTTAATGTTAGAATTTGAAAGAGTTCAGTGATTTTGGTAAGAGATCTTGGAATTTGAAAGCTACTTCTGGCTTTTGCTAATTCAAGTTGGATAGGGTAGATTCACTTGTGGAGGCAAAAACTTCTATTACTTGATTTTTTTCTATTTACAATACTTGAACTTCATACATTGTTCGAGTGGGAACCGGACTCTTTGGCACTGGAGCAGCAAACATTTAAAATGAAATATTTGCACATCTTGCTTTTTGAACTATTTGTGTACACACAATATACTTCTCGATAGTTTTATCACTGTACAACACAATGACGCATTTCATAGCACACTCTTCTTGTCTCTATATTTTATGTTTCGTTTGATGATTTATTTATTCTTTCTTTGTTTGACTTTCTGTATACCTGCAGTTCAGTGAAGTTTGAATTTTTTGTGTTTGTTACTTTTTATAGCAGTTGTAGCTAACATTAGTTCACTTTATCAAGGACATTCATGTAGAATATTAATGATAGTTGCTCATTTAGTTTATTGGTTTTGGAAGGTAATTTTTACACCTGTGTACCAGTATCATGTGATTCAATTTCCACAGGGTGATGTGTTTGCATTGTTTTACATATTCACATATTTATAATATTTAGTTTTCAGTACTGTCTGGCATATCCTCACTAACTTCACCTACTAGCTGATAGAAAGAACTTCTAACTGCAAGTAGGCATAGCAGAATAGTAATTAAATATTACTGTAAATATTAGCTTGTTTGGTGGTGTGTATTGGTGTCAATAATCTAGTAGTTATTGATTGTAGTTTATTCTAGACTGATTATGATCCTCTGTAGCATCATTTACGTAAATGTTAAAACAAGTGAATATGTATTCCTTTAAGATGTTAAATTATATTTTCCTAACTAATGTCGTTCTGCACGTGTACGGCAAGCTACAGACTGGTATGATTCTGTAGTTACTAACTAGTTGTTAGCAATAATGTTAAAGTGTAGTTTCCTAACTAAAACTGAAGACTGGTATGATTCTGTAGTTACTAACTAGTTGTTAGCAATAATGTTAAAGTGTAGTTTCCTAACTAAAACTGATGTCGTGCTGCACATGTGCATCAAATTACAGACATGTACATCATGATTACATCTCAATAATGTTTCCTCTCTCCATATTTCTTAATATGGTATCAAGAGCTTGAAAAAAACCCTACTTATGGCTAATGATTTTTTGTCGCCGGAAGCTCAGCAACAACCACATCTTTACAATGCTGGTTAATTTTTTGTACATCATTAGTGAGAAGCTTGATGATATGCATTTCCTCACCTGGAAGCAGCAGATCAAACCAGTCATAATTGTGCATTGTTCTTCATCATTACCTCCTCATCCTGAGATTCCACCTCAGTTCATCTTCAACAGATTCATGGAATTAAAAATTCGGCATATAAATTACTTCTCACCTTGCTTTTATCTTTGCTTCATCCTTCCTTACTCTTGTTATTGGATGTTGTCAATGCATCAACTTTGGGCCAAAATCTATGGCCATTTCATTGTGCACGCTAAAAGCTCAACAACTTTGAACGAACTTCATAATGTCAAGAAAGGGGATTGATCAGATTCATAATTGCTTTTGTGCATCCATTGCTGCATACTTAGTGATTTGCAATCCTATTTTTGAAGTGGAACAATTGGATGTTCATTTTGAAAGTCTTTCAATAGAGTATGAATGACTTGTTTTTGTTATCAATTTGCGTTGTTTCTTTTGTGGAGATTGAGTCTCTTGTTGCTCAAGAAACAATAATTGAATGCCTAAAATAATCTACCCTCGAAAATGGCTCAATCTTACTTAGGGTGCACAAATTTCTGAGGAAAACTCTAATGGTGATGATTCTACACTGCAAGTCCAGCTTACTCATGATTACTCAGTGGTGGCATTTGAGGTCGTGGCCACTGAGGCTGTGGTGGTTGGAAAGTCAGTTTTGGTGGTCAATGTAACATTCCACATCATGTTTATTGCTGCTATGGTCACACTGCAGCACTGTGTTATCATCGCTATAACCCTAACTATGGCCAATTTCATAATTCTAACTGCCGATCATCTTAAACTCTATTGGCATAAGAACTTGCAATTTACCAAAATGAGCTATAGGCTTTGAATTGTGTCAAATTTCATCATAAAACCAGCTAACATTAAGTGAAGTGGCATAACAAATATATAAACCATATTCTAATATAATTGAAACAGACTATGTGAGACTTGACAAAACACCTATTACAAAAGCTAGAAAAGCTTAGTTTGTAGTGGTAACTGTTATTCCAAGGATGTTGTCATTCCAAGGATGTTGTTTTTAATGACCGCAAATTTCCTTTGCTTCTTTTGAGCCTGTCTTACCTATATCAAAAGTAACATCCAAATTACTGTCTTGTTGTCATTCCTTTAGTTTATTCCTCGACACCCACCAATAATTCACCTCCTACTTCTGTGTCTACACTCACTTGAAGTACTTCTTCTTTTCATTCTTCATCTAGTCCTATCCCTGAACTTGTCACAACCTCTACTCCTATTCTTGTCAGATCTGGCCATCCCATGCAGACCAGATCAATGACTGGTATAGTTAAATCGCGGCTGTACCCAACTTTATTGCTCACTACTATTGAGCCCTCATTGTTCTGTAAGCTTTATCTTCTCGGCAATGGAAATTAGCTATAGAAGATGAATTTTATGCTTTAATTACTAACAAGGCTTGGTCTCTTGTTCCTCTGCCTCCTCACAGAACAGCTATTTTGTGTAAGTGGGTGTTTTGAATAAAAGGAAATCATAATGGTGCTATCATCAATTATAAAACGAGACTTGTTGCTAAGGGCTTACAACATACTCCAGGCTGTGACTTCTCTGAAACTTTTTCTCTGTTTGTAAAACCTGTCCCAATTTGTATCATTCTGACTTTGGCTCTCTCAAATCACTGGCCTATAAAAAGTTAGATGTTAATAATGCCTTCATTCACGGCTACTTAGTTTAGGATGTTTTTATGCAGCAACTAGGTGGCTTGAAATCAGACAATCCCAATCTAGTATGCTAGCTGAATAAAGCAATTTATGGCCTCAGAAAAGCCCCATGTGCGTCCTATGAAAGGCTTACCAGACCTTACTAGTTTTGGTTTCACTCAAATTAAGTGTGATTCATCCTTTGTGATATTCAACGACAGATCTATGTGGATGACATTCTTATTACTGGTTGCTCTCCTACCGTTGGTCAGTCCCTTATATTATTTATTTCCAAACTACTGTTCATTTTTGCCCTCAAGCAATTGAGCACCTTGGATTATATTTTGGGAATTGAGGTCAAAACTCTACCTAATAGGTATCATAACCAAAATATATCAAATATTTACCACATGGAGTCGGCATGGCTAAATCCAAGGGCATTGCCTCTCCTCTTCCTTGTGATATTAAACTTTCCGAACTTGGTTCAGATTATATGGATGACCTTACATTTTATAAGTTGCTGGTGCCCTGCAGAATATTAAAATTGGGTTTAGTGTCAATGAAGTTTGTCAGTTCATGGGTTTGCCACTGATTTCTCATTGGCAGGCTGTCAAAAGGATACTTTGCTATCTCAAAAGAACAATTAAGTATGGGCTCCTCTTAGCTCCTATGCCTACAGTGATGCTGGTTGGGCCTCTGGTGTAGATGATAGAAGGTCCACTTCTGGGCCTACCTCTTCCTTAGACCAAACCTTATCTCTTGGTCTAGAAAACTAATCTTTGTGGCCATATTAAGTGCATAAGCAGAGTACAGGAGCTTAGCTGGAGTGGCTTCTGAGTTAATCTGGGTGTCACTTCTCACAGAACTTCAAGTTTGTCTACTGTGATAACCTCAGCACATTTATCCATCGGTCACAAAGTCCTGTCTTGCATTCAAGAACAAAACAGATGGAATTGACATGTTCTTTGTTAATGAAAAGGTGCTCATCAAGTCTCTTCTCAGGATCAGCTACAGACATTCTCACTAAACCCTATTCCAGGGACTGATTCACTGCCCTAAGGACCAAACACAGTTCTCAGCAAGTTTGAGTCACACAGTTTTGAGGGGGATGTTAGAGTGTGATAGTTGTCAATGACAGTTGTAATCTGTTAGTAGTTAGTTAGCTCATTGTAATCTCTATAAATAGAGAACTTTGTAATCACATTCATAACTACATTTTAATAATGTTTTATCCATATTTCTCAATACTGTCATACATTATAAAATTCCCTGTATGTTTTAATCTTGTATGCTTAATCTGAGAGTTTTATGGAATTATGGACATCTTTTTAGAATACTTGAGTAAGTTCTATTTACTATTCCCTCTTCAAGCTAGTTTCTGCCTATTTTATTTTTAGTAATTCTCTATTTTATATGACTCTTTAAGTTAAATTCATAATACAAAACATAGTTACACAGTAATTAAACTCTTATGAAAGCAGAATGTGTCAGTATGTAGAATTCTCGTGGTACTGAATGTGCAATGGAAGTTTGCTTTAGTTGAGTACTTTGTTTCTGGCATTATGAATTCATTATTTTAGCATCTCAATTCGGACTATGCATTCTGAAACTTTAGTCAACGCTTTCTAGTAGCATGTTTATAGCTTCTCCTAGTACTTTTTTTTCACAAGTAAATACAAATGACCTTTTGTTTTGAAGAGCAGCACTATTATCTTTATCTGGTTGTTTTCGTTCAACTTTGCAATTTTATGTTTGTGGTTTACTTTGCAAACATATGTATTGAATTACATTATGCTTATATACTGTTGTGTTTTATGGTGTAATTTACATTGTCCTCTCATTTTTTCATGATTTTATTGCTAATAAGATTTATTTATTTTTAGATTATGATTGCCTCACTGCACTGCATCAAAATGATGTGAATATCACTCCCTCAAAAACGTTCCTTTCATGGATATTCTAAAGAGATAGGAAAGTTCTACTTTAGTGTTTCTACTCACCTATTCTGGTTTTTTTTTTGTGGGTGTAGGAGCTACTTTTAGAAGATATATCTCTTTGTCTTCTACATTGAATTTTATTATCTTATATTAGTAGATATCAGTACCGGGCGCGATCACTTATAGTAGTGGTTAGAGTGATTATTTGTAAGCCAGTGCATTAATTTTTGGACTTGCTTTCAGGTTCTTCATTACAAGTTCTGTATTAGATCTTACAATTGTGGGTTTAGATGATGCGGATGGGGACTCAAATGCACAGGGTCAATACCCTCACTACTTGAAGACCAGTTGTAAAGCCAATCTAGATCTGGGAAGTGTAGTTTACCTTTTAGGCTACACAGAAAAACAGGAGCTCACTGTTGGTGAAGGAAAGGTGGTCATAGCCACTGACAATCTCATGAAAATGTCAACTGATGGAATTCAATGGAGTCCCGGTTCTGCAGGTTTTGACGCGCATGGCAATCTAGCTTTTATGATATGTGATCCTATGAAGTTAGCCACGTCACCAAATACCAAATCGCCTTCAACTTCGTCATCATCATCATCCTCTTGGAAGAAAGACCTCCCCATGCAATTTGGCATACCAATTCCTGTCATATGCGATTGGTTAAACCAGCATTGGGAAGGAAACCTTGATGAGCTTAACAAGCCGAAGTTACCAATCATGCGATTGATGTCTACTGGCCCCAAGAGCGAGCATTCGTGTGCTTCCTTCACCCTGCGCCAAGTTTTCAAGTCAACAGAAGGCGATGATGATGGTACCGCATCTTCATCGAACAATGCATCAAAGGCAAGGGATCAAGGACCAAGCTCTTCTGCTGTTACCAACACAGTTGAAGAAGAAAGCTTGATCACTAATACAAATGCTGCACATGTACAGGGAATTCCCACCCCAGAAATATACGAATCTCCTAGAGTAACTGCTGTGCCACTCAGAAGGAAAGAAAACATTCCAATGCAGCTTTTGGACATCAATTTTCCTCCAAGGTCAGCCAAACCTGCAGTTTTGCCACAATCATCCAAACCAAAGTCATCTGAAAATCATGCCAAAGACCCTTTGCCTGAAAACCAAGCAGAAGGAGAACAAAACAAACACACAAGGCCAACAACTCCTATTCCAGATGTTTCCTCAACAGGGTCTGTCAACGGTGCAGCTCAAAGCGAGGTTCAGTCTAGCTCTTCTCCCATCGATGTACCGGAGATGCAAAATGGATACAGCAGCGAAGGAGAGACCATGTACTCAGCAGAAACAGCAGAGAGCCGCAACTACACAAGCCCCAGAGAGTTGAAGTTTCAGCAAGTGGGAAGGAGCCAGAGTTGTGTGAGTTACAATAGGTGGGGTGCTACCCCAAGAAGCCAAGTTGCACGTGGAATGATGGTGGAAAATCAAAGAAGCTTTATGCATGTGAAGAGAATGTACTCACAAGGTGCAGCAACTTCCCAGCGAAGCAATGACTATTTCAGCCCCACTGTCTCCTCAATCATGAAACGTAACAGCAGCTCAAGCAAGCCACCTCGGCAAACTCCTGTCCATTCTCCTTCACCCAGATGGATGTTTTGATTGATTCATATATGATGATATTTCTTGTTCATCAAGTAAAATTAAAAAAAAAAGAAGGGGGTTGAAGAGAAAGAGTATAGTGGCGTTATGTTTATATTCTTTTTGTTATCCATTTATATATGCTCTTTATTTTTTATGAAACATGAGCAAAGACTAGTTCTGGTGAATAAGAAATTTAAGCTAAACTGTAGATTTCTTTCTAAATGACTTAAGAAGGTGATTACTGGTACCATGTTGGATACAATGTTCCACCTGGAGCCAACAGAAAGCTTTGTGGTTCATCATCATCTTAGAAAGTGCATTTTTTATTAAAATCACATCTAGCATCACATATATACAAATATATTTATTTCTTGTATAATTTTTTTAAATATAACAAATTTGTGTGAGTAATTTACTTTTCACCATGTAGATTAATGTTTATAATTAAATTAAAATCAAATATAATTGATGCAAGGCAAGCAATTCAATATATGAAATAATTATGATTATTATAGTATCAATGTTAATATTAACTATCTTAAACATTTTTATCTGTATAATATTTTTTAACATTGATTTTTATAATATAAATATATTAAGGAGGTTATGTCCACAAATAGAAAGACAAGTTTGAATATTGTTTTCAAAATGAGTATTGTAATATCCTATACAAATCCTACTCGTTCAGCTACTTCGAATACTTCATTCACTAACATGAATAAATCATGACTCAATTTTCTAACTGTACAAGATCACAAAGATATAAAATTGGTTTAATTATTCATTTCGTTCTATAGTCATAAATACTTTCCTTTCATTCCCTAGAATTAAAAACATCACTTTTACATCTATCTTTACACATACAATTTTTAATCTCTTTAAATTCTTCTTGTAGAGATTAAAAAACAAAATAAGACATGAAAAAGCTATAAGCATAGATTTTTTTAAGTATATAACTAGAAGAAAATTCTGTTGTATGAATTGAATCTTAGTAACAGATATCATATCACCACTAATAAAAAAATATTAAATATATTCTATATCACTTTCCAATATTCTCAAAGCTACAAATTTGCAATCAAAATTAAAGAACACCAACAGAAAAAGCTATTCATTTTGATTGTAATAAAGCAATTCCCACATTAGTATTTGTGTATGAAGTTAAATGCAAAAAGTCATTCACAACTCCCAATCGGGTAACTGTCAGCAGCCAAATCTGAAACCACATCAGCTGAGAGTAAGATCAACTCCTTTTTGTTTCAGATACTCCTTGGCCTCAATAATGTCCTGAAAAGAAGCAAAATAAGCAACATTCTTTGGTGACATGACAATCGGCAGACCATATCTGAATTCTAACAAGGCACAATGGCTTCAATTTTGCCACACCATGAATCCTGAACCAGTCTACTATAATCAGGCCATAAAGATTAGCTCTACTGGATTCCTTAAAAAGGGAATTAGGAGAATTAAACTCTTCCCATAGGAACTATAAAAGCACAAACCAAGGAAATTACATAACATTGCAATATCTAATGAACATACGGCACAGAAGAATACCTTCTGCAACAATACAGCTTCTTGAGGACAGGTTGGAAAATTCATGAGACCGACTCCTACCATTAATAGACCGTAACATCCTAAAGACAACAAAATATATAGGATTCTACATGCACAATTACATGCCCTACACTTTGAAAGAGAAAGCCTCCCCTCCTAGAAACTATTTTGTCACAAAAAACGAATAAAAAAAATAAAACTCAACCATCAATTAACATAAAGACCTACCGCCCAAGTATAACTGCGTGTAACCACAGAAGTTTGCATAAGGCCGATCCATAACGTTGTAATGGCCATTACAAATGCCAAAATCTTCACAATATGCTTCATTTATCAATCTGAAATTAGATCATATATATATATATATATATATATATATATATATATATATATAATTCACTTAATTTACTAATATAATATTTAAAAAAACATAATAAAATCAAATTCAAGTTTAAAAATAGACAAATAATACAATTTTTATTTTATTTTTTAATAAAATAATCACTTCTAATTTTTAATATGTTTGAATAAATTTATATAAAAAATAAAAGTAGACAAACTTTTTTTTCTATTCTTTCAAGAATTTAAAATTGTTATAATCATAAAAAACAAATACACTAAAAGAAAAAAAAATTAAACACAAAAATTTTAGTGTGAACCCTTACTATGAGCTATAACTTTTGGTGCAAGTGGCAAACACTTTGTACCTAACTCTTGGTATCGTAGCTAGGCCTCGTGCTCGATTCTTGCCGATGACTCGAATTAGGGCAGCGTGTGGTAAGTCCCCTCGAGATTCTCGAAGAGCGGGGAAATCAGAGTCGCAGAATCCTGGTAGGACCAGGGCGCGTTCGATTCTTGACGAGGATGGATTTGGAGGCAAATCCCGAAGAGCGGGGGAAAAATTGTTATAATCATAAAAAACAAATACACTAAAAAAAATAAAATATAACTGAGTATCAGATAAATTAATTGTGTAGTATTCCTAATATGCATTGATATAGGAAATCTTTTTTATTATGTAATAAATATCATCAAGTTGGGAATTCAGTAGATACATAAGACCCCAAGTTTAAACTCTAACTTTAATATAGATGGATGAGATGATTAAGTATGTTAAATCTATGGAATTTTATAAGATTAAATGATTTTGATTTCTATTGTAAGTGTAACCAAGTCCACAACTTTTATTGAGAATGATGTAATTCATACTTACGATTTATAAAATTATTAAGATCGACGTGAGTTTAATTTAGAACCATGATTGATATGTGCTCAATTTCATGAGTAAGGTGTTTCATTTAGAGTTATTATTAACTTGTTTGAAATAAAGCATAATTTTGAAGTATAGGAGTGTTGCAGGTAGCATCAATTGTCCTGTGACGAAGGTCAGGTGGGCCGAGTCACAATTGAATCGTGGCGCTTGGGCTGTTAAAGTAAAAAGAGTTGCGCTCTGACTAATGGCTATAGCTTTTGGCCTAGTGGTAAGCGCTCGATCCTAACAATTGGTATCAGAGCCAAGGTCACGAGTTCGATTCCTGGTGGGCAATTGTTGAGGGGGAGATTGTTGCAGGTTGCACAATTGTCCCGTGGCAGAGGCCGGGTGGGCCAAGTCACAATCCAAGAGTGGGATACCTTGTAGGACAATTGCTGAGGGGGAGATTGTTGCAGGTAGCATCAATTGTCCTGTGACGAAGGTCAGGTGGGCCGAGTCACAATTGAATCGTGGCGCTTGGGCTGTTAAAGTAAAAAGAGTTGCGCTCTGACTAATGGCTATAGCTTTTGGCCTAGTGGTAAGCGCTCGATCCTAACAAGGAGGACGGTCAAATTCAGGTAGATATATATTTTTTATAATAACATGAAGCTTAATGATAGATTGGAGATACATATTTAACTCGTAGTTCTTGTAATGACATAATGATAAGCTCAAATAGTTATACATCTTGAACATGATATGATTTGAATATATAATTAGGATGAATATAATTCGAATAAAATCTAATTCGATTTTAATGTATAACTCAGATAATTTAGAATTGAATTAAATCTTTAGGTGTTTAGCTTTGTATCTGAACCCTAAATCCTTAAAGTTTAAGGGTCTTTGGGACTCTTAACTTAATCAAAGGAATCCGTGTAGCACTGAGAGGTGCTTATACGTTGGTCAGCCCTTAGGATTGGTGGTCCCGGCAGTAAAGCCCGAGAGGGGTAGTAAGACCGTTGGTCAGCCATATCGGCCGAAAGGCAAAGTGGTGGTCCCGTAGCATGGAAACCAGAGAGAAAGTTAGGATGCCAAACATTCTTAGATCTTTAAACGATTTAAGGTTAAGAAACAAAGATAAGCAAATAATAGTTAAAACACAGCAACATGAGCCTTCTTCTTCAACTTCCTCAGAAAATAAAGAAAAAGAATTATAGATAGCAGAAATAGAAAACTCATTACATAATTGGTCAATACCTATAGTAAAAAAATGCGAAGTATATAAACAACATAAATTTTGGTCAACAAATTTAGATGAAATACATATAGTAGAATATAATTATCCAGGAACAAGAAATAATAAAATCATAAATATATTAGAACAAACAATATTAGACAAACATATTAAAGATGAATATAATTTTATACACTTAGGACTAATACAAGTAGCTGCTAAGCCTAATTACAGATTAGGAATAAATAGCCCAATTTTAATGTTATTAAGAGATATAAGACTTAAGAAATTTAATGATTCAATAATTGCAATTTTAGAAAGTAATTTACATGATGGCCTCCGCCTTCTTTAATCAGTTACCCTAATTTTTCAATGAATATTAAAAATAATAAAACAAGTAATGCAATAAAATTATACGTACAAACACCGTAAGAAATTGTAGATGAAGAGTCTGGTCCAATACAAATAATCTATAGAGTTTATTATAAAGTAACCAAAATAGATTATAATTATAAGGCTTTAAGATCTTCACCTAAAGATGAGACAATATTAGTAGAAGCTAATCTTAGGAAATCATCAGTTCAAATTCCTAAAAGATTAAGTCATGAAGAAATAATTAGTAAAATTCCTGAAGAATGGAAATTAGAAGATATAATAGAAGAACCAAAATTATATAATACTCAAATTAGAGAGATAATTCAAGATGGAACTAATATTAGATTAAGAATGAATAGGTCAATATCCTTTAAAAATAGAGAACCTCATATGATATATAAGGGACAATCGTCAAGACATTCTATAGATGGTTCAACGATAAATTTAGATTTAAGAGGATTAGACAATATTTCTCCTAGAGTAACTAAACCTGTTTATGAAGAATCTAAAAAATCTGATTCACCACAATATTCTCCAACAACCTCTCAAATATTAGGAGTAATAGAAAAAGTAGAACCCTTTATTATAGATAAAAATTGGATTAGAGAAGATTTTGGAGCAGTAATATAATAAATTAAATAGAGAATGGTATTTTAAAACATTTAGTAAACAAGAAACAGAAGATTATAGGAAAGAATTTTACAATTATATGGAGGAAAATGAGATAAATTTATATTTCTTTGATTGGTTTTATAATTATAGTAGTTATAATCAAAATAAGGAATTAAAACCTTTAGAGAAAATAAATAATATATGGAAAACTATAAATAATGAAATAATAAATTCGAATATCCACCTCAACAGGGAATAATAATAAATCCTGTAAAAGATTTAGAAATAGAGGCTAGTCCATACAAAGATGTTAAAAGTGAAGAAAAACCAAGACAATTAAAAGATATAAAGAAATTACATTCACAATTAAATTATTCTAATACCGTATTAGAAGTAATGTCTAAACAACTAACTAGGATAGAAAATAAAACTGTAAAAGATATTCCCAGTAGTTCTAAAGAACCCGTAAAACCAATATATAAATTATTTAACGTACCACAAAAAGAATTAGATTCTTTAAGATTAAAAAGTAATACTGACATACAAATAGAAGAATTAAAAAAGAAAATAGATCAGATAGGCAATATATCCATTAATACAATAGAAGTCAATAAACTAAAAACAAAATATCCAAAACTTAGAAATTATTACAATAGACCTACTTTCGCAGATATACAATTTGAAGAAAGAGGGGAATTAGTACAAAATTCGTTCTCGTGAAATGACATAACCGAATGGAATCTAGATGGTCTAAGTGAACAGAGCTATTTTAGATTTAACTTGTCAAATGACTATGGCCGCTATCGCCCATAAGGCAAAAGGTCAGTAGTGATAAATCCGCAAAGAATAGCAATAATCCAAGGATTCACTCGCCAATTGAAAGGCTCGTGGGATAATTTCTGCATTTAAAATGATAAATTATCAATATTAAATAGTATAAAAACAGAAACTAATCAAGAAGATGCCGTAGCAACACTAATTTATTCAATAATACAAAACTTTGTAGGAGACCCTAATGTTTTTAAAGAAAGAACGGTAAGCCAATTAGCTAATCTATATTGTCCGACTATGTCTGACTATAGATGGTATAAAGATAACTTTTTATCAAAAATAACCCTTAGAGAAGATGGATTTATGGATTCTCGAAGGAAAGGTTTCTGCAGGATTACCTAAATTATTTTCGAAAAAGTAAAATTAAATTTAGAAAATCATTATGGAAAACCTTTGTCATACGATACTCTAACTTATGGTCAAATTCATAATATAATTGTAGAAACTCGGCATTCAAGTATGTATCGACTTTAAATTACAAAATAAACTTAGGAAGGAAAGTACAATAAATAAAAGAGAAATAGGAAATTTTTGTTATCAATATGGGATGGAACCCATAAGAGCTCCTAGTGCTAGAAAAAAGAAAATAATTAAAAAACAAGAAAAAACATATAAAAAACATTTTAGAAAATTATATAATAAAACACAAAAACTTGAAAATAAGGAAATAGAAAATAAACAATGGACAAGAAAACCCAAATATAATAAAACAAATAAAAAGAAAAATACATGCCTGAAATGTGGAAAAATAGGTCATTATGCTAATAATTGTAAAGTAATTAAAAAGATAAATCAATTAGAAGATGAAAAATTAAA